TTTTGCTATCATCCGAATGTCAAACACCATCATTACCTGACATTGTCCTGCATCCACATAAACACAACTGAGTGCTAAAGTCGATGAAGTAGTGGACCCAACTAAAGAAGGAGCTCTCCCTCTACTTCTCAGCATCTTTCGATTGATCATGGTGAACTAGTGGTCAACCTTGAAAAATGAGTGCCAGCCTATACGGAGAGAGAAGAAAGAGAAAGTTGTGATTTGTTATCACATCATTCTTTGTATTAATGGCGTCTAAATTTATTAACGAAGGACTATCATCCTGAAGATTGTGAAGCATAAGGACCTCTAAAAAAGGTCGAGGGACCTAATTTAACATCTAATACAATTATGGGAGTGTTTGGATAAGTCCAAACCATAGTTTGGATAATAGCTTCTAGAGAATAGATTATGAAAAGAATAGATTTTGAAAGAATAAATTTTCTGAAAAAGTGATTCTGATAAAGTGAGAGTGTTTGGTTAATTATTGTTAGAAGTGCTTTTTTAAATGTAAAAATTACTAAAAAGGATATAAATTTAAATGATAATTACATATAAAATATATTTCATAATATATGTTTATTTGAAGTAATAAATTTTTTAATAATATATATTTTGGTAACATAATAAATAAGACATAAATAATATAAATAATAAATAATTAATGTGTATATATATTTATAAATAATTACAATATTTTTAGGAAAATGATTTATTTTGCTAATAAAAAAATATTATTATTTATTAAAGATTTTAAACATGAATATTATTTTGCCAATAAAAATATTATTATTTATTAAAGTACTCCCAAGCTTCGAGCTTTCCCCACTTCCTTCCTTATCCCCTTCTGTTCATCTTTCCTATCTTTACAGCTTTGTCGCACTCTGTGCTTGTCTGTTTCTTCTGATTTCTTGCAGTGAAGTCGCTCTATTTGATAAACAACAAAAAACAAAGTCACTCTGTCTCCTTCGTTGAACCCTCACAGCATACTGCTGGCAACGATAATGGACTACACACCGCCTCCGTTTGACAACGGCTTTACTGCCGAGAAGCTCTTCTGCCAAGGTTACACCTACACTTATGACGACGTCATTTTCCTCCCTCACTAAATTGAATTCCCTACTGATGCTATTTAGCTTGCTACCAGAGTCAGTCATAATGTGCCTCTAAATATCCCTCGTGTCGCTTCTCCGATGGACACCGTCTCCGAAGCTCACATGGCCGTCGCCATGGCTGCCCTTGGTGGTATCGCTTTTATCCACTCTAATACGACGCCGTCCGATCAGGCTACCATGGTACGTTCCGCTAAGTCGCGCCGAGTGCCGATTCTCTCCAGCCCTGTCTTCAAACCACCCTATGGGAGGATTGAGTCGTTGGATGATTTTGGCGACTCACTGACGGCACAGCATGAATGGGAGAAGAGGCGACGGCACAGGAGAAGAGAAATCTTCAGAAGGGGCGACGGAATGGGAGAAGAGAAATGAGAGAAGAGGCCTTCATTAAGTTTAGAATGGGAGAAGAGGTGCTTTTTCATTTGGGAGCTACTAACAGGAGTAATAATTACTCCAACGACTATTTGTTACTCCTCAGAAGCGACCCGCGTGATGCTTAAGTCCAAACCATGGTTTGCCTGCTCAAAACCAAGGTTTTGTTAGAAACCAAGGTTTTTAAAAAAAAATTAGTGTTTGGCAATCAGCCTCCCCAAGCCATGGTTTGGGGTCCAAAAACACTTCTGGGGCAATTGCCAAACACCCCCTATAAAGACCAAGAAATTAATTTTCCCAAAGTATTATTACTCATCCTGCTTAGATGAATGAGAAAAAATAGAGAGAAAATAATATGAGTAAATGTTAGAATGACTAAAATTCCTTTATTATAAATAATTGGCAAAGAAACTAAATATTTAACAAGAACAAATTATTTTTCTATATGAAAAAATAAAAAGGGGATAATTTTTAAATAAAATAAAATAAAATAAAATAAAAGTAAATAAATTATGCATTATTCAATATTTTAAGAAAATGATAAAAATCGAATAAAATGAAAGACTATAATAACATGAGATATTGAGATCATGAAAATGTCACTACTAGTACCATTAAGATTAATCTTGATACTTAGAAAACAAAATATCTTAACCATGATCATGGAATAAAATGAAAGGCTGAGGAGTGATAAGAGCTTCGTGGAAGAAGATAGTGATGGGAATGAATTTGCTGAGCATAAGTCTCTCGTGAAATTTTGAGGGGAAACCACACTATTCCATTTAAGCAGCGAAAACCTCCATTCCTCTCCCATTTTTCATCTCACTTTTCCTTCCTCTCTCATTTTATCTCAATCCAAGCAGATTTGCAATAAATAATTTATTATCAGTTGTATGGGAAAAATATAGAATTTGTATGAATGAATGAAATGGTTCTCACGCACTTCAATTCTTCTAATTAACTGATCTTTCTAGTACAGCACTCTATTATAGCACCACTGCTTCTGGCAAAACAAAAAACAAAAAAAGTACCACTGCAGAGGCTTTAAACTACATATAGTTCACTGCAGTTTTATAAATACTACAACACGAATATCAAAAGCAAATGAAAATAACTAAAAAGAAAAAGAAAGAGGAAGTTTTTTTTTTTTTTTTAAAGTAAAAGCATCAAATAAGCTAAACGTCATGTAGTTGGCCAAAAAAAAAAGCCAAAGGTCATGCAAAAAAAAAAAAGAGGTTCATTAGGTATAAACATAAGCGAATGAAGTTTTAAAAAAGACATAAAAAATAAAAGCTAGCATGACGTGAAGCACACTAAAGGTTTCAAAGAGGAAAAAAGGAGATTAATATGCCTTATGTAAACTATACTCTTAATTAAAGTATCAAATATATGAGGGGAATTTTAGTCCACTAGAAAAATCTCTTGGCAAAAACCATTTGCTTATGTGTGCTGGTCAAACGGAAGGATAGATGCAGCAAAATTTACTCTGAGGAACCTGACTCTAAGAAAGATATAGTCTTCTCAATAACTCAGAGAATTATCAAGGACACACCACGATCCAATCTCTTGACCGTTCAATTTGTTGACAAAATATTCTATGGTTAAATAAATAATTATCACAGATGTTTTTCAAACCTTTTTTTTTTTATAACAACAACCAAATGGAAGAAAATAAAAATATTTATCATTAATTATTAAAGCATAATCAGACACATATATTCAAGGAGACATACATATATATCCGAAGCAAGTTCACATATTGTAGCAATTACAATAAAATTAGGTCCAGAGGATAACAGGACAGGAAATTTACAGAGAAAGATGCAGAGAAAGAAAGCGACAGAGAGAAAAAGAGCCAACAAATTTCACGCCCAAATCCATCATCCCATATCTATTTATTTTAAGTTTTTAACAACTTCCCCCAACCCAGTCCACTTCTTGTAGCCCAACTAAGCATGTGTCCAAGGCCCATACGATTGCTTTTTTTTTTTTGACATTGCTAATGATATTGCACATATTTAGTTATGTCATTATCTAATTGAATTTTATAAAATGCTTTGATTTATTTGATTCAACCTTAAAAGATGAGTTAATTTGAATTTTAGATAATGATTTGATTTATATTATATATGTTAATATTTTTAAACTATATATATTTGATAAGAAAATATTTTTATATTTATATAATTTGTGATTCTATAACTTGAATTAAAACTTTATATGTTTCAACCTTAATGTATCTTAAATTAAAGTAAAATAATAACTAAACTACAAAACTTGAAAACAAAATTTACTTGAAGAAATTTTTTTTGATATCTTTGCCACTAAAATAGAGCATACTTATAATAAAGCACGATTAAATAAAAATGATTGCCCCTGGGCGACGGTGAGTGTTTGGTAGAAGATATGAAGGAGGCCAGCCATCAAAACTTTTTTTTTTTATTTAACCTAAGTGGAGCTTATTTGGAAGCTACTTAAGATGAGTCAAGGTGAGTCATGCATAAAAATAATTAATTTATTAAATACAAAAAGATTAGGGATTGAGTTTTAATTAAATTAAAAATTCAAAGACTGAGTGACACTAAATCATAGTAGAAAGATTGAATTAAAACTTAAAAAATCAAAATATTAATTTTTTCTGAAAAAATAAATTTTTTTTAAACAGGCCTGAAAGTTTGCCAACCAACCCGAACCCGCCTATTTAATGGCCGCGCCTTGCGAAATGGGTACCTTTTCAAATCCATAAGCCGTTCTTCCCAGTGCTACATTCATCACAATTGAACCTTTAGTTCCTAACCTAATTCGAGTGGTCATTGAGGGGAAAATCATTATTAATATCACTAAAAAGTTACTTATGGCACCAACACGGTTGGCTCTGGTAGAGGGTTGGAATTCTTGGAGCCCATATTTAGTGCCTATCCACTTTGCTAAGCTTCTCATCAACTACCATCACCGTTCTCATCGTGGGAGCACCATCTGAGCTATAGTGTCACATTCTGAAGACGGAGTCTTGCGAGCCAAAAAAAGAGGGGCTTCAATGCTTGGGACCAACTTAATGGTAAATCACTGGTTAAAGGTACAATTTTGTGGGATTTTATGGACAAAAGTTGCATTTGGTTTTAAAGAATAACATAATGAATAATGATGGTTTAACATTGTATCATTGAATGGCCTTCAGATATGCTCGGAACTAACAGCAAGAAGTTTGATTCCTTATGCGACTTATGCAATTGCAATATGAAAGAGTATTACACAGAATGAAATTGAACGCAACAAATTCTGAGGACAAACAACACTCAAATAAACACAAGCAAGCTTCAAATGAATCCTGTTTTCTTTTGTTACTTGGAGGATAGAAAATATGGTCTGAAGAATAGTGAGAATGAGGAGAATGAATCCAGCAGCAGAGGCCGCACCTTGCCAAGCCGTCCTGCAATAATCACGCCTCAAACTCGCTTTACTCCGTCGCAAACCATTTTCGCAGAACTTATTCAACCTTTTGAAGATGTCAACGTGTTAAGTAATCAGCGTTGCTACACCTTCATTCTTTTCCATCATTCTAAACAACAGAACAACCTCAGTATTAGTAATGAAGCTGCGGACTATTTTATTATCAACCAGGACATCCACATCTTCCTTTGTGTTGATGAGGCGACTCCATACAAGAGCATAGCTAGTAATGTAAGAGATAAAAGGACAATGGATCTGTTCAAAAGCAATCATATTAAAGAACAAAGCTTCAGTCACGAGATCCATCACCAAAATCTGTGGAAGCTCCAGAACATGGCCTGAAAACTTGATGTCTAATGGGCTCTTGCTTTTGCTGGCCTTCAACTTTACTCCAAATTCTTGCAACTCCTCTGCACTGTATGAAAGAACATCAGTAGTGTAAAAGAATGGTTCCGCTTCTGGAGGACCTCCTTCTAACAACAAAAACCTAAGCAAATTTGTGAAATGCTTTGTGCTCACATTATCAAGATCATGCTTTGGCTTTTCAAGGTCGAATGCTTCACTAAAGAACCGATAAGCAAGCTCAGAAAAAGTGATTCCATCATCACGAAGGTTAGGGGGAAATGCTATATTGAATAGCTCTTCAAAAACAAATAATGGTAGTTGATTCTCAAATAAAATTAAATCTAGATGTAGATATCCAATTGATGGATGTGACAGTACATCATCAACCATATCTGTCTTATAACGCAGAGGGCTGAAAAGTTTGACGACGAAAGCAGCATCCACTGATATCAATTTCACGAGTTCCTTATCAGTGAGATTGATGTTCTCTGAATAAGAAGCACGCACTTTCGACACTGAACTTTTCACAAAACTAATCAAAACATCCAGGTTTGCTCTGCTTCTTTGTGTAAATTTTTTGAGAAAAACTTGCTTGAGCCTTTCCATATCTCGCAGCCTCTTATCACCGCAATGAAAGGGACCAATAGAAACAAATTTTGGGGTGTGAGCATCTGGAAGTTCTATACAAGTCACTCTAGGGATACACCTGCCTCGATACATGTGGCTATCCCTACTGTCTCGAATCATAGTTTTGATGTCAAGCATCACATCATCTTCCATCTATCAAATTTGAGTTTAAAAGTAATTCGCAAGCAAAATAGAAACATGGACACACATCATATATTAGATCATTTTTATAACTAATAGCATAGGTCTGAAACATTAGCAGCTTACATGCTGTAAGCATAATTTTTTAACTACATATATAGTGTTAACATTACATTGTCAGTTATCTTCCTTTTATGTAGAATAGGTGTGACATACAAAAGGTTAACCAAGAAAAAAACCATCAAATCTATTAATAAATGAGAATAGAAATTCGCAATGAATAAGGACAAAATAATATAATTATTTATTATTTCCTAAGAATGTTTCATAGGGATAGTTTTGGTACTTGCTTAATTTCGAACCGTTAGATTAAGTCTGGGCGATCTAAATTTAATTATTTTCATTTTTTAACCAAATTAAATAGAGTTTAAAATAAAAATAATGTATTAATTATCGCTTTCCAAAAAAAAAGAAATTAACAACAACAAAAAATTTAAATTAAATCTCAACCATTTGAAGCAGATTTGGAAGGTCCAGAATTATTTATCCTGCAATAAGCACCAAAACCAAACTTCTTTCACAGCATGTAGCCAGTAAAATATAAGGGTAAAAATTAACGTTATAATTTGGAAGTAGGCATACGCATTACTTTGCAATCTTACAACCTGTGACCAAGAGAAAACGAGACAATTAAATAAGAAAAGAATTCACAAAAGAAGAGAGTACGCCACCAGGCCGACTTTTACAAGGATTTCAAATAGTCTTACATACTTTGGACTTAATTTCTTCATTTTCATCGATCTTCCAATGCCCATAGTCGGTGCTACTTTCAAGAAAACATAATCTTCAATCTCGAATTCTAACGGTCTCCTTCTTTTATCAGCATAACTCTTCTGATCTTTATAGATCGACTTATGTATGTAGTTGGGGATCCATTGAGGAAACATGGTCTCCCACCTTCAATGTTAACTGCCTTCTTTGCTAACTATGTAATTTTCTCAGTGCTCTAACTCATGTCGTGATAGATCGCATTCACAATGCTGGATATCTGACATCAACTAAGACTTGTTAATGGCATACACCATTCTGAGCACCTAATATCAACCAAGATATATTAATCACATCAACGATTCTAAGTTTTTGACATAAACTGAAACATTTTAATGGTATCACCCATTCTGAAAATCTTACTTTGTTATTTTCTACCTTACCTTTGGGATTATCTCTTGGTACTCAATCTATTCATATAATATTTGGGAGCTTTTTTTGTTCCTCTTACCTTCTTACCCCAAACTTAGCTGGCCTAAATGTATTTTACTTAGGACTTGCAGCTCTACACTTTGTTAACTCTTATGTTCCTTTGTTGACCAATTAGAATTGAGCTTAGTCTATTTAACAACTTGGCTATCTAAAGAAAAGTCAAGGATACTCTCTCTGAATGGTTAACCAGACTCAAGAAATCATATATTCTAAACTCAACTAAGGTCATTGTCTTCCCAGATAAGACTATTATTTGGGTATTAGTAACTGTCCTCAGGGTCTTCTATGACCATGAGATCTAACTACGATCTCGAGATCTAACTATGATCTCATAAGCCCACTTCTTGGATCTAACTGCGATCCCTTTATGGGAATTTGAAGACCAAAGAATGAAGTTATAGGATAACTTTATCTCTATGAAATCTCGCAACCATACTGATAATTCTCCAAAACTAATCTTAGATATCCATATTGCTTCTTAAGCCTTACTCATTCCTTTTGGCAACTCAAAATTATCTCCTTACACTTCTTAGCTTCATTATCTTATTCTTAACTTTCTTAGGCTTTATATGAGTTCGTCTACTATGCCTAGCTAGCTCTTTGA